AAAGACAACTTTGAGTTTTATTTTTTTATTTTTATGCAATTGTATCATTTACCAATACATGATATTGAGTTATCATTCAGGGTTAGGGTTAGGGTAATTATGATATTGAGTTATCATTCAGGGTTAGGGTTAGGGTTAGCTAATCAGTTGTTTTTATTCATCTAAATATAATTATATATAGCTCTATTATTCAGTAATATTGAGCACTGTAACACGTACAAGAGACTTCGTATTATTACATCAAAATACATAACCTTGAATATATTCTATATATCGAAATCTATACAAATATATATATATATATATATATATATATATATATATATATACATATATATATAGGGGAGAGCAGGTAGGATTCGTACACCAGGAGCATTCGTACAGTGGTCATATCTACCAAGTTATAGGTGTTGACAAGTTTGTATTATTGTGAGCGTAAGGACCGCTTATGTTGAATTAAAAAAAGCTATACGCCGTAGCAGTGTATCAGAAACCTTCATCGGGGCAAGTCAATAAGCGTTTTCACGCAACAAAAGTAATTTTACTTACTATCTTTGAAAACATATATTTGTAATAAGTATTGCTAAAGTTGTAAATATGATTTACTATGCTGTTAAATAAATGCCTAAAATTGATACGTAAACATCAACTTTTGTGCTAACCTTAACCATTATTTTTATTTTGAGTTTATAAGTTGATTTTTTTGTTTGGGGTACATTCGTACAGTTATTCGTGGGGAGGATTCGTACTGTACGAATCCTCCCCAAGTGATTTTGGAAAATTTGTTTCATAACATTATTATTATTTTAGGATAATGCCGCGAATATACATAAAAAAAGAGACTAGAACAAAAGAGGTAGACGAAGAAGCAATGAAGTCTGCGATGAACGATGTTTTACATAAGACTTTATCTATTAGGATGTCCGCACAAAAATATGGGATCAAACCAACAACACTTCAAAGTCGCCTAATTAACTCCCATAAAAAAGCTGCTAACAACACTCTGTTGCGTGTGTTTAGTTCCAAGTTTACATCAAACCAAGTGTTTACTGCCGAAGAAGAGACTCTATTGAACAAATACATAGTGAAATGTTCTAAAATGCATTATGGGTTGACAATGGTACAAGTTCGAAGACTGGCATACGAATATGCTAATGTAAATCAACTAAAATATCCACCTAGCTGGAATCATAACAAAATGGCTGGAAAAGAATGGCTTGACAGTTACCGTAGACGTCATACAAATTTAAGTCTAAGGAAGCCTGAAAGCACCAGCGCAGCACGTTCTTTTGGATTCAACAAGACAGCCGTTACTGATTTCTATGCCAACCTAGAAAAGATTTTGAGAAAATATACATTGCTTGCAGATAGAATTTATAATTTTGATGAGTCAGGGGTGTCTACAGTAATGACTACGCCAAAAGTGTTGACACAAAAAAACCTAAAACAAATTGGTCAGCTTGTTTCGGCTGAAAGGGGAGAACTAGTAACATTTAGGGGAATTATATCAGCAAGTGGTAACACAATACCACCGTTATTTATCTTTCCCAGAGTGCATTTTAAGGATCACTTTATGGAGGGTGGTCCAGAAGGCAGCCTAGGAATGGCTACTAAGAGTGGATGGATTAATTCTAGTATATTTTTGGAAGTCTTAAAACACATTAAATTAAAAACATGTTGCTCTAAAGAGAACCCTATTCTGCTCCTCGTCGACAATCATGAAAGCCATGTGACAATAGAAGCAGTGGACTATGCTCGTGGTAATGGCATTATTTATTTGTCATTTCCTCCTCACACAACTCACCGTCTCCAGCCTTTAGATGTGGGAGTATTTGGACCTTTTAAGGCCAAGCTAAAGGTAGCATTTAATGATTGGCATGTGAATAATCCAGGAAAAATCCTTAATATATACAACATTCCGAAACTGGTCAAAATTGCCTATTTTGAATCATTTAATAGCAAAAATATTTCTAATGCTTTTGAAAAGACTGGAATATGGCCATTTAATAAATTAAATTTCAGTGACGAAGAATTTGCTGCTGTGCAAGTATACCATTCCGATTCTTCAGCAGTCACAGTCACACAACAAATCGCACCTGAAGAAATAATTCTTACTCAACAAAATTTGATAAGTGCGCTTCCTGTATTGCCATCTACATCTTCTATGGGATTAGTAACTCCAGAAATAGTAGAAAACATAACATTACCATCTACATTATCTGTGGGATTAATAACTCCAGAAATTATTCGACCGTACCCTAAAGCCAACAGGAACGGACCTAAAAAAAAGAAGAAAGGAAAACTACCAGGAAAATCAAGGATATATACAGATACTCCCGAAAAAAACAGACTGCTAGAATTAGAAATTACAAAAGAGAGGAAGATACAAGAGCAAGAGAGAAAAAAAAAAGATAAGGAATTGAAACGTGTATTAAATTTGCCAATAGACACAAATATAATAACCAAACCAAAGAAACAAAAAAAAAACAATAGAGACTGATAGCGAAGATGAAACTGATATAAGTTTAAGTGAAAGTTCTTATTCACCCTTTAAAGAGATGACAAGTTCTTCATCTGATATTGAAAACGAATTTCCGGTTAAGCAGGAAGATATTAAAGAAAAAACATTTGTGTTAGTGAAATTTGATCAGAAAAAGAACGTTGTACATTATATTGGGCAGGTTGTAACCAGGTACAACCCCATGGAATACAAAGTTTCATTTCTGAGAAAGAAGCCGGGTACTTGGAAATTTGTTTTTCCTAATAACAAAGACGAAGGGACGGTTTACTTATCAGACGTGGTATGTGTATTGCCGCCACCCAAATGTGCTTTTACAGCAAGAACAGCCAATATATTCATATTTAAAAAAAATTTTACAATGCAAAATGTGCAATAATAGATCCGTTATGTAAAACGATATTTGTAAAATAATATATTGTTGATTATTAATAAGTTAAAAGTTTATTCTGTTTCAATTTTAATCGTTATAAATGTTCGTTTTCCTATAAATAGTTATGTACGAATGTACCCTACTCTATGTACGAAGCTACCCCGCGCGTGGGGTGCTTTCGTACGATTTCCATTTTCTGGGAGAATCGTTATAGCTTTGCCATTTTACTTTGTACCAATACCGACCTAAAAAATTATTGAAGCCAGATATCTAGATAATTCACCAGCATTGAAAGTTTTTTAAAATCGCTATTGGTTTTGCTTTAAAATGACTTAGAGTAAAAAGTGTACGAATCCTACCTGCTCTCCCCTATAATATAGATATATATACATACATCTATATATACATACATCTATATATATATATATATATATATATATATATATATATATATATATATATATACATATATATAATATATATGTATATATATATATATATATATATATACAGTGGCGGAACTACTGGACGCGGGACCCTGCGTTGCGGGGGGGGCCTACCAGCTATAGGAAGCCCTCATATAAAAAAAGTTATACTCTCAATAATATTTATATGTGAAGCTTTATTTTTTTTAAAAAAACATTTTTTTGCGGGGGGGGGGGGGCCAAATTTTGAAGTTCCGCCACTGTATATATAACATGTGGTACCTAGAAATCCGGACAAAAGTTCGGTCGACATAAATTGTTTAAAGAATGTTGCAAAATTGATGCAAATTATGCTATGTTGTAGTAAATTTAATTCTCTACAAATTACAATATATCTTTTAGCAAACAATTATTATTAATGGCAAAGAAAATTATCTCAAAACAGGAAGACCTCAGAAAGCGCGTGAACGCGTTAATCGATTTGCATTTGGATATGAAGAAATGTGAGATTGTGAGACACTTCATGATAGAAGGCGCATCAAGGTCAACCCTGTATGATATTCTGCAGCGCAAGACGCTCAAAATAGGCCCTGAAAGACAGCGTGGAACTGGACGGGTGGCAATCAAGATAAACACAAAGCAAATCACCATGCTGAAAAAGCGAATCGCTCATAGTGACGGAGTTAGCCAGCGTCAGCTAGCCCGCGAGTATGGTGTCAGCCAAAAGCACATATCATAAACAATTAGCACCAAGACAACAATCAAATATAAAAAGAAGAAAAAAGTTCCGGATCGAACTTCGCAACAGAAGTCAGCCGTTCGTCCAAAGTGTGCCCACCTGGCCAGAGTTTTCCGGAAAAAGAAGGCGATCATTGACGACAAGTCCTATTTTTTGTTGAGCAATAACGAGCTATCTGGAAACGCTAGTTTCTACACTTCTGACGTCGAAATGACTCCAAAAGCTGTTAAACTCAAGCGCAAGTTCGAGCAAAAGGTACTTGTTTGGATTGCTATGTCCGAGGACGGCCTGTCGAAGCACCTGGTGATACCTTCGGGCCACACAATCAATCAAGATGTCTACATCCAGAAGTGTTTGATGAAGCGCTTGATTCCGTTCATCGAAACAGTTCATAAGAACGACGAGATCGTTTTCTGGCCTGACCTCGCTAAGTCTCATTACGCAAAGAAGTCGCAGGAGTTTCTCCAAGCAAATAACATCGAATTTGTGTCTAAAGAGCGCAACCCTGCAAATGTGCCAGAACTCCGACCAATCGAAAATTTTTGGTCAGAACTCAAACGAAGAGTATATGATCGTGATTCGAGAGCAAAAACGGTGGAACAGCTTACTGACAGGATCAACTACTGCATAAAATGGATCAGTCAAGATTGCGAACATCGACTTGGCAAGACTTCTTTCAGCCGAGTGGACAAAGTTCGCAAACTTGGCATGATAAACTTATATATTTTTTTTAATTTAAAGCTTCATATGCTTAACTTTAATTGTTTTTTTACAAAAATAAAGTTGCATTTTAAGTCTCAAAGTTATAAGTTTTTTAGTTTTGTCCAGATTTATACGTATCACATGTTTTTATAAATTTATTGTCATACAAAAGAATTAATAAATAACAAAGGTATAGGTTAAAAAGATACGCAATAGTATAAAAAATACAAGCTAAACAGAAATTGTCATTTGTACATGGTTAACCTGTTTATTAATACCAGGTTTTAACCATTTTATAAACATACTTTCTTTAAGTTTTAGTTCAAATTTGTTAGATGCCGAATCTAACACAGAAAAACACTTGTCATTTATTTGCATGAAATAATTTTCATTAGCATGGAGATTTTTATAGATGTGAGACTTTTTGTCCCTCTTGTAATGTTCAGATATCCGGATCTTGAGATAGCGAGTAGTTTCGCTTATATAACAGGAGTTACATACGAATTTAAACACCACGAACGATTTGAACTCTTGAGGAATAGGATCTTTAGATGAAAAAAGTTTAGAAATTGTCAGTGAGGTAAATACTAATTTAATATTTGCTGAATATTAAATTATTATTTATTTCACTGAAATTTTGCAATATCTTTTAGCAAATAAATTCAGTCTTTTTTTAGTTGAATCAGATATTTTTCTCAAAAACGTCTATTCAAATAGTTCTGCATAACCCTTGGGAAAAATAATAAGATCACTTTCATAAATGAGGGCCAATATAGCTCACTTCTGTTTCATGCAAACCTATGGAAAAAATAATTAGACAAGTCATAATCGATCATTCGGTAAATAACAAATTGCTTTCCAAAACTCAACATGGTTTTGTTTCAAAAAAGATTTGCATCACAAATCTTTTAGAAACAATGGACTTTTTGACTCATAGCAAATCTAAGAAAAAACCAGTCGAGCTAATTTTTCTTGACTTTGCAAAGGCATACAATAAAGTTTCGCATGTAAGATTGCTGGAAAAGCTTGAAATGTAGGTTATAAATGCCAATCTACTAAACTGGATAAAAGCCTTTTAAACAAGATTGCAAATTACATGAATCAGGAAAACAAGAAGAAGGAAGTGAATTCCAAAGAACTGAGGTTTAAACAGAAAAAAAATAAACAAAGAATTTTGGAGCACTTAAGAATAGTCACAGTAAAAAGATGAGGCTTAAATGAATAACAAGTAACACGATAATGAATTTTAGTAGACGGCATAAGATACGCTAACTCTTTAGAGCAGCGCCCATTATAGCGTTTATAAAAAAAAGAAAGAGAAGCAACATTAAGACGAGGTGACCGTGATTAAAGGTTGGCTGCAAAAACAGGTACAACAATGTTTTTGTTTATGTAACAGAAGGGCAGAAGTGTTCAAAAACTCAAAAAATTTGAAAAAACTAAAAATTTGAAGGAAAAATCTGATTTGAAATCAAAGAACTTTTCACCATGTTTCAAACATTCTGTTTTAATTTTGATTAAAAAAAAAATACCCGCTATGATGGGAGAATGCCGATATATTTTTACATTTTTATACGTTAAAAGCTTTTTGTCATTGATTTCACATAAACGTTACATTTTATTGTGTTGTCACAAATTACTGATTCAGTTATCATGTTATCTGACATTAATGTGAAATCAAAAGTCTTTATTCAAAAACTTTAAAACAACACTATTTAAGTATCTACTTATCAATAAGTGATTATTAACATGCAAAAAAAAATATTTTGCGTGGTAGTAAGGAAATCAGTATTACTGATAATAAAGTTAAAGTTTTAGTTTCATTTTATAGTTTGTAATACAAATTTTGTTTATAATTATAATACAAACTTGGTATTATATTTAATTCATTGATAGTTTGACTTTAGCACTTATGACGTAGGAGTATAATGAGTAAAAACAAAAGACCTATACATAATACTTGAAAAAAGAAAAAAGTTTAAACTAAGGGTATTATCTGTTATATTTGTTGAGAGAAGTCAAAAGAATGTTTTATGATCACATTAATTGAACTAAATTTCTAGGAAAAAATCTAGGTGATTAATGTCTAGGAAAAAAAAAGCATAAAACCGGAATTATATTGGGAAGGAGGATGGGAGGGGGGGAAGAGGTTAGAATGATTATATTTCACAAAAAAATTTAAAATTCAAACTTGATAAAACAAAATGCGTGTGTGTGCGAGAAAAATAAATGTGTTACAAACTTTCCAAATTATTAATTTTTGTTAATTATTTTTTTGTTACCCTGCAATTAAACTTTTCTTAATGATATATAATTTATCAAAATTATGTGTGAGTTGAAAAAAGATTTTGATTGAAGAAATGAAATAAAAAATTAATAACAAAAATTGTAAAAACAAAAACTTTCCAGTAATGTATAGAATTGTTAATAGCATTTTCAATGAACAAAATATTTTTTATATTTAATATTAATTATTTTTATAAATAATGTATTATATATTTCTTATTACTTTTTATATTTGTCTCCAACAAAACACATTTTAAATAAATTGTTTGTGAAAATGAAAAATAATTTTAAATTTATAATGAATATATTATAATGAATATTATATTATAATCAAAGCATAAATTACATGAGGATATGAGAAATGCATAAATGCAGGCATAAAGAAAACAACTAAAAGTTTAAGCTATGTTTTTGAGGGGCAAGCTTGTGGTTTGGTCCTTCTAAATATTGAATCTTA